GGTGAGAGAAGTAGATCAGTTACAGCAATCAGTCATTCTTTCAGAATGACAATATTGCTACGCAAGCACTCCAACTACAGCTAAACAAAGCTCTGTTAATGCCACGTGCTATTTGTTTTGGATTTTTTACGAGGACATACGTAATATGCTTCTTGCTGATGTAGTATATGTATTCGGCAGTATTTTTTTCGCAAAAGAGACGATGATTGCAAATACGACAACAAGTAACATCCCGAGGTCGGCTACATCATTTTTGTACAAGCTGGTTATACTAACACACTCGCCTTCAGCTATAAATACGGTGAAAGGGCAGCTAAACGAAGCTCTGTCAATGCCACGTGCTATTTGTTTTACTTTTTTTACAAGGACATACGTAATATGCTTCTTGCTGATGTAGTGTACGTATACGGCAGTATTTTTTCTCAAAAGACCGCGAAGATTGCAAATACGACATCAAGTAACATCCCGAGGTCGGCTACGATAACATCATTTTTTGTACAAGCTGGTTATACCAATACACTCGCCTTCAGCTATAAATACGGTGGAAGGGACAGAGGCTCCATCACAGTAGGAATGTTATTCATCCTTTCATTTCTAGCCTGCTTCCTAGCGAAGACCGCGACTGAAGGTAGGTCATCTCCACTCCTAACGTTCAGTTTTAGTTGTCATGTTCTTGTACCAAAACATCTCTTTTCAGACATTAAAGCGGAACTTGCGCCGCTCTACCAGAAATTCGAGGATTGGTGCGTAAATGGAACGGTCGACTCCGCCGTTGATCTTTATCATAGCCAAGGGGTTATGGTAAACAAAGGCGTAAATGCTACATATGGAAGAGCAAGTAAGCAGCGTACCTCTATTGATAACCAAAAATGTCATTTTCATAACCTGTCCTTTCGTTAGACATCCGTTCGGAGCGAAAGTCAGAAACTCCTCTTTCCTCTTGCTCCAGATGCAGATTCAGGGAAACAATTCCTACAGTTCAAAGCTTTTACAAAGAAGTATGAGCGACTGAATGGCGGGTGCTTCTTGAGGTCCTGAGGGGTCCAGTTAGTCATCGCTTTGACATTGTTTGAAGTTTTCAGGACATGTGCTTTGCCATTCATTTATTTTGCATAACGTTCTGAGTACTCTATCAAACTAGTCATTACGAACGTCTATTTCACCTCGAATATGAAGCGTATGAAACCTCACAAGAAATAAAACTGCACGGTAAAGTTGATTTATGATTTCACTCACAGCTGTACTTTCAGATATCACTAGAAAGTACAACGTGATGTGGCAGAGACTCCATTCCCACACATTCAAGGTTTGTGTTCAAACTACTTCTGCACACTATTCGTAGCTAGATCTGATGGAGAAAGCAAAAGAGTTCAAGTCCTTCTGTACCCATAGCCTTTACATTCACGAAAAGCACGTTAAATATACGGTTCCATAGGTAGATGGATAGGTTAATATAAACGTAAAGAAAAAAACTAGTATTTTGATCATGAGCAGAGGAAGATTTGATTCATGGGATTGTCATCTGTCATCTTCTATGGCAGATATTTTCTATCTTCACAGACACGAAGGTAGGTACTATCGAAGTACCGGTGATTACAGAATTTGATCCCTGGGCTTGTATTTCATATGAACTGATACGTTCTTTTTCCAGATTCACAAGGGTGGCTCTTATCAAGGCACCGATAACTACAAGATCGCTGAATTCAAATTCGATCTTCTCAGAAATCCAGGAAAAGCGAAAATTCTCACAGGCAAATTTACTCATATATGGAAAAAGGAAGACGGAGAATGGCGCATTTATCATGAAGAGTACGAACGAGTGATGAATTGAACTGCTCAATAAACGTTGTTGCAGTACATGTACACTTCAACAAAAAATATTGCATTCACAAAGAAAAGTTGTGGCGAGATTTTAGCCGTTACTTCCTTTATTTCTTTTGAGCTTGGCAACTCAAGCTTCGAGTGGGTTGATCCCTTAGGATAATCCTTCTATACACCTTCGGTTTCTACCATTAAGCTACATATCCTATGTAACGTTCTTTGGCTGTTCAAATTTCGGTGCACAATTTTTCTACATAGCTACTATTGCGGATTCTCTTGAAGCGTAGAATCCAAAACCAATTTATTTGCTGAGTGAGTTTTCGAGATTTAGAAGTTCCTTCTAAGTTCCATTCATTTTTAAAGCTTTAGCTAATAAAATTTATCAATGCAGTTTATACATACGAACAAGTATGGCATAATGACAAGCGATCTTATCATAGTGCACCCATCAATTAATATTCTTGTACTATAAACAACCATAAGCAATCATGTCATAATGGATTAACAACTTTTCAAATACTACTTACGAGCTAAAACCGAGAATACCCGTCTCGGGTGGAATTACAATTGTAAATTCGCCATTAATCTTCTAATACCGCTTCCTTGTTAGGAGAGCTGTCCAGAAGGGGAACTTTCAGTGGCTCTGCTCTTTCTCTGAGTGATGTCATTTCTTGGCCATCATCACCAGTATTTTTCGACTTTTTCAGCTCGTTTTCATCTTCTTCGTCAACAAGTTTTAGACCTTTTGCCCAGTATATCACCCAGATATCGGACAGCAGAGAGAGAATGCGTAAACCTCCATAGATGAGGTGCAATCTGAATATAAGCTTTTATAGCAATATCTAGACCGTGTGATCATCTCGAATTTAGGAGATTTCGAAGATGGGTTAAATGTGGACCTGGAATTCAAAAACAGCTGCCAAACAGTGTCACAAAAATGGGAATTGATGGTTTTGGAGACTAGCTTTTTCGAGACTCGAGTTTTCGAGACTAGCTTCGACTAGCTTTTTTTTCTGTTGTGTGCCCTACCTTCGGCCCACATTGCCAATACCTCCTTGTCCTTCTTTACCTCTTGGGATCACGAAACGCGGCGAGAGTAAGATGCCTCTCTGCGTGATAAAGTTTAAGCTCCACCGTGCGCAACCACGGCCTAAGCTCTTGCAAGTCCACCTCCACCTCGGAATCACCGAATGTACCTACCGTATCCGGAGTTGATCAGTGTCGTAAATCGGACAAGCTCCAGTTTTACTGCACACATTCTGCCACATCAAACAACTCAAGTCGAATATTTTGCCCCAAAATACTGGTGATGGCAGGGTTGCTGAAATGTATTCATTAGTTCCTCACCTTCAACCATGAGTACCCTATCTTTCAGAAAATTCAAAATCAAACTCAAACAGAGAGTCTTACCAAGTAAACTGACGAGGAAGCCATTGAAACCTAGTGAAATACTGCGATGCTCCGGGGGTACAGACCTTGAAGTGTTGTGAACAAATCAGTATGAGCAGCCAAATGAGCGTTATGGACCAACCTCAAAACGATTAACATTCCCGGCACAACGGACGATCCTGCGAACACTGCTCCCAGGGCCTGATTGAAGAAGAACATGTGGAATTGCTTGTTGCAGTGCTCTAAGAGTGAGAAAATTCTTCAGCTCAGACCATATAGAGTGAATAATAGGACTTTTGAAGAGGAAACGAACCAGTTGGGCAGTAATCCCTGCTGACAGCCAAATCACTTGTCCCTGAACATTCGCATTCCGTAAAAGTCAGTGGCATGCCTTTTTCCATCTGAAAGGATACATTGTCATATGATGTTCAGCTACCACTCCTAACCGCTAACCGTGTCATACCTTTGTATAAATACTGAAATTTGCCCCACTTAGAGGGCAACCAGCTTGACAAGGCGAGTAGAACACATCTCCTCTGGAAACATGGTAAATACTTTGACTCAGCGAACCTTAAGGGTGGTGCTAATTTTCCACAAATTTGTGGTAGAATCACTAAAAACATTGTTTATAACTGACTTGGTGTTACAGACGGGATAGAATGGCATTCCATCACAGACGCAATCTTTCCGGCATGAAGGGAATGAGAAATTGTTGGCTCTAAAATGGGATCCTACAGTAAATTCCACAGTAAAATGTGTTTAATCGGATGCTGTTGTCTGTTTTTTCTTTCATGTCAAAATGACTGGTAGCGAGCCTGTCCAGTTGCCCATACAGCGTGCAAAACAGTCGTTCAATTGTAGGATCACTGAAAAAGGACGGAAACGGGCAGTAGGATCGGTTTTGTGTGATCGGTTCGCCGCACGCGGCAGTCGCGCACGTTTGTCTCATTATTACAGTTCTAGCGCTCTTCATACGGCTATATCAATATGCGATTATTATTTCTGGCATTATTCTGATGTTGGTTCTTTTGTTCTTGTACTCCCTTCTTGCTGCTGCTACATCCCTTCGCACGCGGCATCTCTCTCGCCGCAACGCGACGGTTTCGACCCTACTGCACCACACCCAAGAAGAACCATCTCGAGCTGCGTTTTTTAATTTACTGGCGCCTTCTGAGCTTCAACTAGCGCAAATGAGTACCAGTTCGGTACCCTGGGCATCGTAAACCATCAGACGCTGAGCTTTTTCTACGAGCCCTGAACGCGTCTTATGGCCGTCCATTATTCAGTACCTGTTTCCCCGACACCGTCTGGGAGCTCCATGGTAGGAACAAAAGGCTAACTCTTCCCCATTTCAACCTTCCCCTATTGCTTCTACCGCATGCTCTGCAGCCTTTGACTTTCACGAGGTGAATAAATCAGACATGCACGATGGGTATGGTACCATACCTCCCAGTGCCCCATCACATGACAATTTCCCTACTGTCGGTATTGACTGGCACTGCCTCAACGCTGTTCGTGGAACTCTTCCGCTGGTGGATGAAAGATAATCGCCTGTTCAAAAAATATCAGGAATTTATCTACAGCAAACTGTTCTTAAGATGTAACCGTTACTAAATTATGCCCATCCGATTTTTTCTAAAGGAAAGATCTCTAAAAAAAGTTGTAAACACGTTATCATAAAAACTCACACTCCCTGTTCCC